AAACAAATGAAATTGCTGCTCTGCATGATGAATACTTCACTTTTCTTTTTTTTACGTAAACTAACATCGAGAAAAATTGTAAAATGCATTTTGCTTGTGGAAAATATTTTCATAATTTATTATGTAGTATTTTCAGCATTTCTTTTGTTGAGTCTAATGAGATTATGAGGCTAGGTTTGACTGGCTGTAGAAAGGATTAATGGGCAATTCAAAAATTATTGCGCTGGTCAAGGCTTTGCTGTCACAAAATGATTTATACTTTTAGCTATATCTAGTCGATGGAATGGAGTGACTATCATTAGTAGTAAGATTTTATGAACACCAGGGGCTGGTTTCTAGTGCTAATTGGTTAATCTACTTAAGAATCGCATAATTTATTTACAATATTTTGGAAATTGACTATGACTTGAGTAGACAACCTCGAGTAGATTTAGAAATAGGCCACTAGCTTTCAACATAGATAAGAAGGCTTGGACCTAATAAAGAATTTGAAAACATAAAATATGGGATTTTGGTGCAATTTTACTTTTTTAACCTTAATTGTCCATTTTGATATGCGTTCCATACCCAACCTAGTGACTTTCCAACAACAAATTATTTTTATCTTTTTAAGAAAAATATTTCTATTTATTTATTTGCTTTAAAGACGGAAACAAATTCCATTGAAATGGCAATTCTTTAATCTTCGCCTTTTCTCCATTCACATAATAGTTTCAGATTCCAAAAGGAAAGCAAGAAGAAAGAAACAAATCGGTTATTAAGACGCCATTCAAATCATACCGCATACCAAGAAATATTATTTATTTCTCTATTTTATACATTCGAATGGAACACGGTAGTCGTAAAAGAATCCCATGAAAATGTTTTTTCCTTTTTTTCCCACATTCATATTTATTTATGACTTAAGTCATTTGTCCTTATCAATAGAAATCTCAAAGATGCATAAATTTTTATTAAAGAAAGATTCCAATTTAAAAATCAAATAGAAAATTATGAGGAAGTCGTTTGTGCCAGAAGTGCAGCTTTTGAAAGGAGATGATGGGATACAATTAATAATAGTCAATGACACGAGCAACAAACTGTCATAAAATTGCACTTTTGTTTGTGTATTCAGCGATTCGTAGATTAAATGACTAATGAGCTGATGTGATGTCAATAGCTTGATTTTGTAGGAATGTGTCATTTAAAGTTTAGAATTATTTGACTAAAATTAAACAAATCTTTTAAAATTACGTTTAAAAGTATTTAAATGATAAAGATGGATAAACATTTACAGATTATAATTAGAATGAACAGATTGAGCAGCAAAGTCTCTCACATCGAAGCAAAAAGCATCTCAAAAATGGATTCTGTATTGTTATTTCTAATTTTTACACAATTGACGTCAGCAAAAGATTTCTGCAGATCGAAGAATAAATAAAATTGAATTATCTTTGTAAGCTCTGAAACATATTGAATAAAAATAATTCGATAATTGCGGAAATTATTTCGATAAAGTTTCTAATCAATTAAGCAACGACTAAAATTTTTCCGTTCTGTTCAAATCAATTAAGATGATGAAAATTTCAGCATCAGGTGGGTTGGAAAATGCTTCATTATTATTAGATTTTGATTCATATTAAATTCTTTATACGTATACAGCTTCTAATATGAATACAGGTAGCTACTGTAAACTATTATTACTTAAATTATATCTTTTAATGAAAATCGAATTAAAATTTCATTCATAAAATGAGTTATTTGCGTAATGAAATAAGTTGTAAATATTGACTAGGTTTTAAGCAATTAATTCATGGAATAATTTACTAGTTTTTGCAAGTTCAGTTTGTTTAATAAGAATAAGCTTGACTCTCAAAATGTGATTCTAGTTTGTAAAACTAGCTAGGTAGCTCAAGTCACGTACTGATTGCAAGATTGTAAAATAATGTTGTTGATTTAAAATAAAATTCCAACTTCACTAGGCCACCTTTTTTACTAGAGACCCGAGCGGCACAAAGGCTCCATTTGCCTTCCATATGGAAGCTATACGGAGCCTCCATGTTCCACCCTCCATTTGAAAATCTTCCGAAAACCTTACTATCATGGAACTTTGACGGAGCCAAAGCTCCGAAAATCCTCCGTGGGACGTGCATTTATTAACACCAAATGGAAGTCATTTGAGAGGTTTTGATGGAGGATGGAGGATCCATTTGTGGTAGTCAAACGGAGGTTTAATGGAAGTTTTTTTCAAAGGATTTTAGGTACGATTTTCCACGTGTTTTTCTATATTTCGCAATTTTTATATCAAGATTTGTAGCTGTATTAGTGGACTTAATTAAAGTACACTAACACCATTGAAAAATTTACAACTTAATTTAATTAAGTCGCAACCACAGAAATTTCTAAGTCTCGATCACTCGCGAGAGAAACATAAGAAATTATTAAAAATTTTTATACAAATTAAACGACCCCATATAATAGTGATTTCTGCAAGCGCTTGTGAAGTATGTAATTTCATACAAAATCACAAAAATTATCCTTTTTTGCTTTTTTAAAGCTTGAAATGAAGCAATATGATTCAGTAAAGCTTTTCGACAATATTTCAATCCATTACAGTAAGATCTGACCTTTGTCTTTTAAAAATTCAAAAGCACGAGTTTTTCGGTATTTGATTTAAGAAATAGCGGAGTTCATATGGAATCCAAATGGAATCAATATGAAGGATGAAAAAATAACCCTCCATTTACTTCCCACATAGTGGAGGTGGCTTTCATATGGATTCCATATGGAGACCACCCTCCACCTTGTGCCGCTCGGGAGATATAATTCATTGTTCAAAACTAGCTTGGATATGTGATAAACTTAATTGCAAATGCTAGCAAACAGAAATTTTTGGGTTCTTATTATTCGAACTTCGAATTTTTGTGGTTCTTATTTTTCGAAAATCGAATCTTCGAAGTTCTTATTTTTGAAAAATTTCGTTGTGAATTATTATTTTTCGAGTAATTTGTAACTTTAGTGAACATTCCTACTAGTTTTTATGATTAAGATCATCACTATGATGAAATTGCATTCCTTAAATGTTTATGCTTTAAAAAACAGCTAGTTTAAAAAAAAAATAAAAAGTAACGGACTTTCTTATTTTAGAATTTTAAAAAAATACCGCGCGAAAATTTTGAAATTTTTTTTGTTTGTAACGGACTCTGTTCTCTTTGCTAACATTGGCTTAATTGTTTCCATAAGTTCTTGAAAAATCATAGCTGAGCAAACTCAAAATTACAAAACAATTGCATGATTCAGTTCTGAAGTCTCACAATCTGCACTCAATAAAATAATCATTTAGCAACTTTGCAGCCAAAACACACCCAGATTTCAAACAAAAATCTCGTGTCTCAGATTGAGAAGAAAGTATTGCGTTGAAAGAAACATATTGCTATTGAAAAATAACACGTAAGACGTCAGTAATATGACGCACAAAGTGTGTGAATGATGGTCAATACGGATAAAGCTGCTGTTTATTCTGGGAAAGTTTCAATTTTTAAAATCAATAAATTAATGGAAATTTTTTGTCTTGTTTATTTTACAAAGGATCCCGAGCGGCACAAGGTGGAGGGTGGTCTCCATATGGAATCCATATGAAAGCCACCTCCACTATGTGGGAAGTAAATGGAGGGTTATTTTTTCATCCTTTATATTGATTCCATTTGGATTCCATATGAACTCCGCTTTTTCTTAAATCAAATACCGAAAAACTCGTGCTTTTGAATTTTTAAAAGACAGAGGTCAGATCTTACTGTAATGGATTGAAATATTGTCGAAAAGCTTTACTGAATCATATTGCTTCATTTCAAGCTTTAAAAAAGCAAAAAAGGATAATTTTTTGTGATTTTGTATGAAATTACATACTTCACAAGCGCATGCAGAAATCACTATTATATGGGGTCGTTTAATTTGTATGAAAATTTTTAATAATTTCTTATGTTTCTCACGCGTGTGATCGAGACTTAGAAATTTCTGTGGTTGAGACTTAATTAAATTAAGTTGTAAATTTTTCAATAGTGTTAGTGTACTTTAATTAAGTCCACTAATACAGCTACAAATCTTGATATAAAAATTGCGAAACATAGAAAAACACGTGGAAAATCGTACCAAAAATCCTTTGAAAAATACTTCCATTAAACCTCCGTTTGACTACCACAAATGGATCCTCCATCCTCCATCAAAACCTCTCAAATGACTTCCATTTGGTGTTAATAAATGCACGTCCCACGGAGGATTTTCGGAGCTTTGGCTCCGTCAAAGTTCCATGATAGTAAGGTTTTCGGAAGATTTTCAAATGGAGGGTGGAACATGGAGGCTCCGTATAGCTTCCATATGGAAGGCAAATGGAGCCTTTGTGCCGCTCGGGGATGAACTGCATGGAATTTTAAAGTCGGCATCATATTTTAAGTTAATAATTAAAATTTTGAGAAGTCCTCCCATTGAGCAGACTCTGAGTTTTCTGAATCACATTTCCGTAGTTGTCAATGACTAATGTAAGATTGTATAAATTTCATAATTTTAATGAAGTTGACTAATTTTAATAATCATAAATTCTTAAGAAGATCCAATTATAAGTTCTGTATCTTCAATTATGATTTACATTATAAATTCTTTATTATTTTAAAATCAAGTATATTTGAACTATTTCCTCAATAGATTATAATCCAACATCAAAAAAAAACTTAATTAAAATTGCAAGAGTTTCCGATCAGCCTTAATTTATTTTATACAATCATCCAAACCGTAATTTTAACAAGATAATTACTCAAATTATAACAAAACTCTCTTTAAGGATCATTTTTAAATGATGTCTTTTTAAAAATGGTGTTTCGAGACACTCTTGTTGTTCTACATGTCTAGACTAAGAAGAGTTCTTTATCCATAACTAAACGTCATTGGTAAACGACCCCCTATCCCATTATAAGTTACCATATGTGCAAAAGAGGAAGGAAAATAATGTTAAACAATCTCTCGCTTACCTCCTACAGGATCTGTTTCATCAACTTTAATCATCTTTTCTTTTTTTTGATGCTGTTGTTGCTGTGCTTCTGTTTATAGACGTAATCGGATTGAACCACTAATGAGTATTTTTTTTTCACTCTCTTTTCTTCAATTTTAATTGGTTTTTCCACTTTACATTTAACAAGCGCAAACTGAGATAAAAAGAACTTGCTTGCTTATTTTCTATTCAGGTTCTGTTTAAGTATTTATTTTCACCTTTTTCTTCGACCCTCAAAATATTTTTTTTTCTTTTGAGAGAGTGAGAGCGAACGAGTTTTATCTTCGTATATAATTAGTATTAAAGGTTATATATCGTCGACTTTTATCATTACTGCATGCACTTTATAAGTATTATTTTTTTTAAAAAAAAACAACTTGCTCCTTTTGATTATTTTTTCACTTCCTAAATGTCACTAAAATGTTTATGTATACACAGAGGAACAGAAACTTCCTTTAACTACTGAAAAGATGTTGATATTAATAATTTTTTTCTTTTTCGTTGCTACTTTGATATATCAAACACTCGTTTAATACAACGTGACGCTAAAGTCAGCTTGTCGTTGAATGCACTGCTCGTGATGTTCTTTTTATTTCTTCTTAAATATAAATTTCTTTTTTTTTTGCACTATAAATAGAAATAAAAATCTCATTAGAACGTTGTGAGCACAATCTCTGCCACTTTTTAGCACATTTTCCGAGTTGATGATTTAGAAAAGTAATTATGTTCGTGGATTTGCGCAATGTCTATTGACTTGGGATTGATTCTTTTATTGAATAATCAATTTTTTTAAAGGTTTATTAGTTGGAAAATTTTGCAGTAAATGATAGAAATAAAAATTGTTATATTGTTCATTAGACGTTGATGAGAAACGTTACTGCGGACTTAAGCTGTCTCTATTAATTTTATTTGGGATTTCTGAGAATTATTTAATTTTCTCAAAAATTCCAAAACTTTACAATACTTAGATTTTGAGAAGTCAGGAAGTGAAATATCTCAAAAAACCTAATTTATGACAAATATCAGGAGATTCTAATGCCCCTCTTTTCGACTTAAAACTAGTCTCATCGAAAACTTTAAAGATCCAGTAACGCCACAGCTAGATAACGAGATTTAACTCTCAAAACTCAAGGTTGATACGATCTTTGTATGAAATCAAGTGGACAAAGCTCAGAAAGTCATTCCCATAGAGAGTTGGGAAGAATCAAAGTCTCTGTGATTGCATTCTAATTCTGTGATCATCAAAAAATTCAAAAATTCTCAATCAACCATAAAAAATGCGCTTCCAACACCCAAAAAATGCATCTCAATTTTCCCACCAGCTTGTTTCCTTCTAAAATTGAATTTTTCTTCTTTGCCTTCCTTTTTTTGTGCTCCGAAACCTCTGCTTCGTTGGACTGAGATGATTCAATTAGGTTTCATTCCACTTCAAGATTCTTGTTGAAGTCTGTATGTTTATTTCATTGAATGAGCGAGAAACAGACTGATGCACTTCATACTTTAATATGACGAAAGTATTTTTTTTGTACGATCTTGAAAATCTAGAAGAAGAAGCAACAAAAAAAAGTTGAAGAGTTTGTTTTTCAATTTTTTTTTACGATGAGAAACAGCAAAATTTGTATGAACTCGGGCAATAAGGCGAATCTCACATATTTGTAGAAGCTGTTTTGCTTTTTTCTATAAAGGAAACGGAAATTTGATTCGTGCTTAATTTCATTATTTTTTTCCGTGTTTCTTTTCTTTATTTTTTGGCGATAGCTGTGAAAAGCTTAAAAGACGAGAAAATTTCTATTTTTTTAAAGTTCATGGACAGTGTTTATAAAGTAAATGATGTGAAATTTCTCAAGGATGATGGAGGCTGATGGTTTTATGATTTGTTATTAATTAAGCCACATCTCGTGTTAAAATAAAAAAAATTATTGTTTAAAGTTACTTTCTTTTGGTTTGCGCGTAAATATTATTCTGAAGATTTTATAGCATATGGCCTTGTCTAATTTGCTTCTTCCTCACACCTCAAAGTTTCGATCAAATTTATTGTTTCGATATGTAAATATTCGAGTTCATTGCGTTGAATAATGTGAGAATGCAGAAGAAAATGAAGATCGAGATTGATTTAACACGAGGAACCTTGCGGTGCTTAATAAACATTGTTATTGGAGAGGTTTTTGAAGGGTATTTTTGATTCAAAAAGTCTGGAAAAATTGAATTGATGTTTAAGTAATTTCAAGTGCATTTAGAATTTTTAATGAAGTTTTCTTTAAAAAAATACAAATTTCCATCTTAGATTCACAATATTTTAAGAAAACTGCTGATTATTCAAAGCTAAGTCACTTGAAAATGTGATTTCGATCTTTTAATGGACAATTTTGTCTAGACATAAGAATATTTTGTTGAGATTGATTTCAATAATTGCACGAAAAGCTTTTTCTAAGTTTTGATGATTATTTGTCAGACAAATCTAGATTTGGAATCGATCAGTTCATATCGATAATGCCGGCTTCAAAACAAAAAGCATAAGGTTAACTCAGACTGTAAGTAAACTTTTTGAATAGAGTCAAACTTATTAAATTGAATTGTTTACATTTTGTTTGGGAAATTTACAATTGGAAGAAATTGACAAATTTTGAATGAGACTTAATGATAGCCAGTTTTAGGTGGCATCTAAGGGAGGCCAAGAATCACAATTGATCTGCAAGGTCAACGAAGTAAAGAAGTTAATGATTCTAATTCTTGAACTGGTAAAGAAAACATTGATTTTAAGTCCATTAAATTTAATAATTGACTTTTTGCTACGACTAAGGACCCTGGATGCCATTTGCGTCATTCGATTAAGTTTCCCACTCCACTTAATTAACCACATTCTTATCTAATATTGCACATTTTAAAAAGTCTACAAATCTTTTGTCACTCCATAAATTTTCTCCCGCAGTATTTTTTTGAAAAGACAAAATTTTCATTAATTTTTAAATATACAGAAAATTTACAACATATGAAGCACATTCCATATTTTATATTCATCCGTTAATGTCAATCAACGACTTTAATTTTTCACTTCTGAGTCTTTAAAACATTTTCTTTTTCATCCGCTGATCATTTAAATACAATCATCAGGTTTCACTTCATCTCATTATATTTTCTCCATCACGAAGCAGTTGGAGTCGGAGCAAATAGAAAGGAATTATACAATGAAATCTTGTTATCTTTATCGTAGTTCCATTAAATAGCATTTTATGTACTCTCAACGCTGAATATCTGGTACGTTGAGTGCTTGAAAAATCCTTTTAATTAATTCTATTCAACTCACACTTTTTTTTTTGCTTTCAAGTATGCCGTAGCTATTTCAATTATCAAACAAGACTCGAGATTTTTATTTTATTCTTGTTTTCAATGAAATGCAAGAAATCTTAATTAAAAAAAAAGCTATCAAGAGTTGAGCAAATTCAAACGATATAAAATGAAATTCTTATCCACAAAACTTTTGAATCAATAGAATTTTTTTATTTCTCTATTTCTTTTCAAATTCACGGTTGAAATAAACAGGAATCTTTCGACATGAAAATCTCATGTTCAACTGAGAGAGAAAAATTCATTTTCACATGAAAAAAAAATTAATTCAAGATTTTTTTTTGTTTTCTTTTTTTCATCGCTCGCTATAGACTTATACATTTAAAGATATCGCCAGACTATCGTATGTATACAGATGTCGAATTGTGAAAATCTTTTTATTGAATGAATGAAAAATCTCGTGATCGTGTTGGGAAAAATGAGAAATAAATAAGAAGGATTGTTGCTGCCTTAATATTGATTGATCGGTTGAAGCGCATTTTCTTCTTATTGCGCTTGATTGATGAAGTTATTTTCAATGTTCGATAGGCTGAGGTATGAAGGTATGCATAAACAATTTAAAAAGAATTTTTCTTGATAATTGAGTGATTTACCTTGAAAAATTCTTGCGAATTTGTTTTGCAAAAACTTACGTAATCTTTTTAAAAATAATTCTAAACATTTTCTGGAGAAGTTGATTGTTGTGAGGTTAAGTATATTAGATTCATAATAATTTTGTTGTTTTCTCCTTTTATAGTTGTTGTACTCTTTCATAGTTGATAGCCCCTTTTATAGTTGGTAGCTATAAATAGCTTTGATTGTTAATATGTTAATGAAGAGTCAAACTAATGACTGTGTTCCCCTGGATAATTACTGGAAATGTTCTATGTTTTATCATCAGAATTATCATCAATTAATAGTTTTGAATGCAGCCCCTAGCGAAAAACTAGCAAATTGCTAGTCTTTCTATTCTACTACTTGCAATTTACTAGTTATTATTAAAACAACTTACTGCTAGTAAATTACACTTGTTATTTAATAGCAAATTACCATGTGAAATGTTTGATCAAATCTGTTTAAGTTCGAATCCTATGAAAAATCATCAAAAAAAGAATTTTTTGCGTCATAAAAAAATTTGTTGTAAATTTGGCATTTGTTGTAAATTTGGCATTTGCCATATACTTTACAAGAGCGCGCAGAAATCACCTTTATAAGATCGATCCAAATTTGTATAGAAAGTTATCCAGTAAATTACTAGGAAATTACTAGTAAATTTCTGCTATTTAACTTCAATCTAGAAGTTCCGAAAACTGCGCTTTGAGATTTTTTCATAAACTTAAACTATGTCTTGGCTATAAAGGTAGACCTACCCAATACAAGTCACTCTATAAACTTAAAATAAATCGCAATAACCCAAACTGAATCCTTCAAAAACACCAATTTCACATAATAAAGCCACAAAAAATCAGTAAAGTTTATTCAGGGTCTCTCAAAAGACTGTCGGCAATTCTACAATGTGGATTATATCTATCATGTCTTCACAATATTTTCCAAGTTTCCTGCATTCTTTTCTTGATACCCGATATAGTAGGAAAATAATTTTAATTTTTTTCTGTTTTTTTTTTGTGTGCAAAAATACACGCAAGCTACAAACGAAATGATCATCATGTATGTATGCCTTAATGTTTCTTCCCATTTATATGTATATGTGGAAATATTTTTCGAATGACTAATTGCTAATGGCATCAACATGATGTGATTTTTTCAGTTGCATTTGCTTCATGCATTTACACAACTAATTCATCAAATTAAATCGTTTAAGAAATGTCGTAGGGAAATTGGAAGTGAAATTTAAAGCAAATGACTCATGACCCAACATACGATTCACATTGTTGCACTTGTAAATGCGTCAATTTAGTGCACTAGAAAATCGCTAGACATTACATAGCCCAGAAATGAAAAATTGTGGTATACACTTTAGTGAGATGTCAAGTTTAAAATTGTTTTTCTGTGAAAAATTTCCTCTTTTAAATCGAAAATAGCTTTTCCTCGTGCACTTGCAAACTTACATTACCAGTCACTGTACATATTTACATCACATGTGAAATTGTAAGTTAGAGTTTTTAAAAGAAGATTATTAGAGAAGTCTGTTCCTCTTCTCGTGATTTTACACACGTAAAAAATTCATCATAAAATAAAATTTTTTCTTGTTTTGGGAATTCACGAGATGTGCATTCAGAGATTTCAATAAGAAGAGTTTTTAATGCT